CCGATCTTACGTATGGATTTTGCCATTCGTCTCAGCATTTTTCCAGCGTCACCTTTAACGTTTTCCGCCTAATTGCCGCTGGTGTCCGTTCTAAGGAGCCGGATTACTCGGAACGGGTACCGTTCTCCAGTCGTGATGTGGATAGGGGCTGGTCCAAATCACGCGTAATCCCGTTGAACATCTGAGCACTCGTGATTCGCCCCAGAATATTCGGACTACGAGCTCTCCCCTTTTCCAACTTCAGTGATGTACTTCTGATCAAGTCGCAGGTCCTGCGGATGGCCCGAAATCCGTAAGTGATTTGTAGACTGTTCGCGTGTCACAACTGTGGATAGACTTCGTGTATTTTGTCACGACATCTCAAGTCATACTACGAATCCTAGATCACTCTTGACTTTGTCACCGCTGTAACTAAGCCAAGTTGCTATCGATTTGTGTCAACTTCAGACGACGCCTCCCGCGTGTGAATACTTTGTGTGAGTCCCAGACTGTTGGTGCTGATGTGCGACTTGTCGACGAGCCGGTGTCGATTTTATTAGTCGAATGGAGCGACGCCGTTGTTTTCAAGTGAACGAAATCACTCCTCGTCCCAGAAATTGTCAGTGTTTGTTTACCGCACAAATGGAAACATTGAATGCTGCCTCGGTGCACGTCTCCCCGCGATCTGATGCACCGGTGTTATTTCGACACAGTTTTGGTGAAAGTGTCCTACCGCGAAACATTTTTCGGCAGGCCTTAAGCCATCATAGGCGGTGGACATTGACGGTTTAACCGCTGTTTAGTTCCACCAGTCGCCCACAGTCGATATGCTTTCTCGGTAACTTGTCGATCGAGAGCGGCTTTTGGCGAGAGAGCGGGCTGACGCTGTTCTGGACGAGAGCGCGTTTTTGCTCGCCGGATGAACGTGCCTTCTTGTCCGTGACTTGGTTGTTTACTCTTTGCTAATTTCCAGACGCCGTGGACGCGGGGGTCCCAGTGAACTTCCGTAACTGGAAGCCGGCGAAATGGTCCTTGATTGTGTGTTGGTGAGGACACCTCGTTTGCCTGGAGAACATATCGTTGTATTGCTTTCTCGATGCGTAAGGTCGATTTGCGCGCGAGCTTAAAGGTTCTTTCACGCGCCGTCTCCGAGAAGCTGTTACCGCAGCATATCAATGCGATCTCCGATTAATTCAGTCACGCAGGCATGCCGAAATCAGCAGGTTTTTTGTCGGTGGATAAAGCGAAGTTCCGCTCACCGGTATTGAGTCAATGTTCTCGGTCTCGTCGTTTGGCCCTCGTGTGTGAAGCTGTGACGGCGTTCATAGTCGGTCCACAGGTTTTCTTAAGCGGTGGATTGCAAGTAGGCATCAAGATGCAGCGCACAAGCGAGTGGTTCAAGCTTGCTGTCAGTCGTCCTCTGGGATGGTGAAGCGTGTTGAAAGATTGCGCCTGCCCCTCGCTGCCGAACAATGTACAAAAAATGCTGCACACTTTTCCGCCCCTCGTGGATTTCTTGGACATCACGGCAGGCTGAGGGTACGATGTGTCCATGTGAGTTGTCTGCCATTTTTTCCCCCAGCGCTTCTCTGCGAGAGAATTTTCGTTCCAGAAAAATTCAGTGGCTGCTATGGGGGATGTTGGATAGGGCTGATCCGCCATCCCATTTTTGGCTTTCCACTCTCACTCCAAACAAAAAAGCACTATTATTACGTCAACGTTCGGGTAATCTAACCCATTAATCACGCTCCGTATGTGTACAACTGGCCGTGGGTTCTGTCTTTTATACGGCTTGCCAACCCGATGTTGTCGCCCCTGCGCCCGCTCTCACTTACCTACCGCAGGCAAGGGATGTAGAAACAGATATAATTATTAACAACTCTTTTTATTCCCAGTTAAGTGGCTGTCAGCCCGACCAGATGATGCCAATCGCTCGCACTACAGATGGCAGGTCACCAGATGGTGTATTACCGAAGATCGTGAGATGTTTACACGGCCGACGCTGACATTGAACATGTTGAACTTCAGTTACTTACACCTCGCCATGCATTGTTCTACTTACATTATTGGGCGTCACAAAAGATCATAAAGAACTCGCCATTACCGTTCCGGGCGTACATGCAGGCACAAACCGTTTCGGGACCAGACTGTGCGCAACATACTTACACAAGCACCACCGTTTCCAAGCAGACGAGCGCGAAATAGTTCAGCAAGCGCACAAGATATACGCGCGCCCGACCTATTATCAGGGCGCAACATTTTTTACCTTCTTTGTTGTCTTTTTAAGCCTTGTTTTACCAGTTTGTCAACAACCGAGTACCATAGCCTTTAGCACCACGTCCCGATTATTCATCCGATGTCGTCTCTGTGAATTGTTTGCGGCCTATTTGGATCAAACTCGACGGAGGCCGCCTTTATGCATGCTAACATACGACCAGTACAGTACATACAACCAGATGTCGCCACAACATTCATAGTGTAAGATTATGTTCGTAGCAATTTACCAAGTTCATTTCGCATCATATTCTTCAGGGATTGCTTGCGTCTGCTCGTTAGAACTGACACTTGAATCTGTAGCATTCCTGAAGTGCTACTTGCATACAGACGCCTGCTGGCTGACCCAGCTACTGGTCGTCGACGAGCTACTTGTCTACCCGCGACTAGACCCCACGTGTCAGTAAGCCCTCTACTCTACATCGTTTCTCACCGTGCCGTGATGCGTGACACAGGCACAAATTCACCTAGTTTTATTTCTACGTCGAACGTGTAGATGTACTAACATACGATTTCCCATCCACGGTGCGTGCAAAGATGGACTCTGCAAGTCGATGTCGAATCGTTGTTCGTGAGAGCCAAGCCGACGTGTTGATTCCCTCTAACGTTACCCTGCCAAGCCTCCCTCCAGCTTCTTCTCGCTCCGTGCGTCTAGAACACGTGTTCGAAAATATATCACTGGTAGTGGTCATCAGTTATCTGTTGAAAAACTCGATATTGAGGTCTGGTGAATGCGCGCCGTTGCGACATTTAAGTGCTTACAAACGCCAAATGTGCCGCACGCATGAGCTGCGTGTGTTTACATGTGCCGTCGGTGCGGCTGGCGATGGTGATGTTGATGATGATGATGGTGAGAAGGAGACCGGTGCTTGGCCTGCGGGTCCGTCACTCCCGCCGTCTCTGTCTCTCAACCTCTCTTTAATCTTTCTCCCTGCTCAGTGCGTACGTGCGGCGGCGTGGGTGTTTGTAAGCACTATAGCTAGGCGCATCCTGACTAAACATTGATGCCCTGTTCCTTTCTCCTGTACAGCGTGCGCGCTTGCGTGCGTGCGTGCGGCGCGCGATGAACGGAAATAGATCTCCCTCCAATCGTAATCACTGTGAAGCTGCGAGAACGTGATGTATGCGCGCGTGGAATGATGGTAGGCCTACGTTGGTTGTATTGTGGTACCGGCTGCCACGGCACCTCCTCGACGGCGTGCCAGAGACGTAGCTTGCCTCCTCCTACACGTTGTAGAAAGATGTAATCAGGTACAGTGAAGGCTATTAACCCTAAAATAAGTGTAAATCATCGTGATGTCGACCGGACAAACCCTCGTTCCACACCCTCGCCGTAATAATATGAACGTTGACTGGGTGATGCACACCTGCCTTGTCCGTACTCAGCTGAATCACGAACTTTTCCCTCCTCCCCTATAGGAATGCATCCCGAAACGGCAGACCAGACGCAGAGCTATGACACCGGCGGTCACCCACTCTCCTCCTGTATTTACTGTAGTTTATTGTAAAGGCAGAGCGCGTTCGTGCGTGAGTGTTGTGTAAGTTTGTGAAGTTTGCGAGAGTGGCGATCGCGCATTGTCAAAGCGGGACAGTCTAGTGCTCTACGATCATTGATCTGTATACGAAAACCTTATATATATATATATATATTTAGAGAGAGAGAGAGTGAGAGAGAGATAGAGGGATTGAGTTAAAAAGAGACCACGTGCACAGCGCTTTGTACGATTCCGTTATTCGTAAATTGAGAATAATGACTGCATGCAGCTGATGGGAGTCGGTATATGTGTGAGAGATCGATGGTGGCCTAGCTACTATAGAACCACTATTAGAACCAATAATAAACATCTACAGTACGGCATAACACACGCGCGCGTGTGCGTACGTGCACCCCGCAGTGTGTGTCGAGGCGCTGACGGAAGTATCGCGCAGTTTGTCGGCTATAGTTTCCACTGTGGCGACGGATGGGGACTGATACTAAATCGTTCGTTCGTTAGGTAATCGTGATGAATCGCTTTCATCCCAGGGCTGGCTCGCGCGTGACGCCAATCAAAGCAGCGTCGTCGTCGTCATCGTCATCGTCGTCGACGTCATCGTTTACGTCACTCGTTCGCACGCACGCCCGCACGCATGCGCATTCCGATTCCGACCGACTTATACACCATACACACACGCACACGCGCGCGCGCTCACACACGGATGCATGCGCGCGCGTACACACACGCACACGCGCGCGCGCTCACACACGGATGCATGCGCGCGTGTACACACACGGATGCATGCGCGCGAGCGTACACAGCACGGATGGGCACTGCGCGCGTGGTACACACACGCAAGTGAAGCGGTATTCCCAGCGTGCATTGGTGGGGTGGATTTGATGTATGTTTAGGTGTGGGTGTTTGTAGTGAGTGGGGTGGTGATATGTGTTGTGTGTTGTCGTGTGTGCGTGCCGTGCGTGCTGTAGGCGTGCGTGCGTTGGTGTGCGTGTTGTGTTGTGTGTGTGTGTGTTTGTGTGTTGCTGTGTTTGTGTGTTGTGTGTGCGTGTGACAGTGTGCGTGTGCTGTGTGCGTGTGCGTGTGCGTCGCATGCGGGCGCGTGCGCGTGCGCGCTGTGTGTGCGTGTGTGTGTGTGTGGTGTGTTTGTGTGTGTTGTGTGTGTTTTGTCTTGGTGTGTGTGTGTGCGTTGCGTACGTTGCTTGTGATGTGTGGTTGTTGTGCGTCGGCTCGTGTCGTCGTGCATCCGTGCGTGCGCTATAGCGTTTGATAGGCATTTACAGGAAATTATCAGTAATAATAGGCGAAAGACAGTAAAGAAACATTAAGACGTTGGTAGTAAATACCTTTCGTGTTTATTTACCGTCATTTAATTATTGAAACTTTCCAAGTGCCTGCGATACACACAAACACACACACCACATACAAACACGCACGGACGTACGCACACACGCACATACATCCTATTCCGCGGAGATTTTTAATTCTTGTTCATGCGGATAAAAGTCCGCGTAGCGGCGTGTCTAATTGTAGACAATGGCAAAAGCTATCACAGCATATATGAGATCGTATTTCTGTCGCTATATTGATCTTTGCCACTTACTACCGGTTGCGCGTGTGGCTGTAGATGCACGTGTAGTCAGGTACAATGTCTGCGCACTGCAATTTGTGTTTACTGATAATATGCTGGCTAACATTCCCGCTATAGGCTACACTGAGTCACGTGACCGACCCACATATACAACGTCTCAGGGATCCATTGTAGTCATCTCCGATGGTGTTTATCCACATAATTTACCAATAAACGGCCGATATGATAAATCGATAACCGATAGCAATTATATGATGAAATGTGCGAAATGAGTGTTATAAGTTTATATAGTATTATGTTTAATCGATGTTATGAGACGCACATGCACGCACACATGAATACACGTGCCCCCCCTCCCATCCACCCATCCATCCATCCACCCACCCACCCAAACACTCACACACCCAACCTGGCCAACCACCCACTTACCTCTCTTTCTCTTGTGCACTATCGCTGGCTTTCTGTCTCTCTGTCTCTTTGTCTCCCTTCCTTTCTCGCGCGCTCTCCCTCTCTCTATCGCTCACCTTTATCAGGCAAACGCGCAGGCGCGCACGCAGAAATACGCCACTCACATGCGCGCACACACGCACGCGCGCACACACGCGCACGCACGCACACACACTGTAATATTAATGGATTCATTGAATGATCGCATAGTGAACGGTGGCTTTAAATTACGTCGCTGTCGGGCTAGCATCGTAATTTACTAGCTGTATGTCTGGCTACACTGTGAAGCGTGAAAGCCGGCGACATGCCTTTCACGTCCTTGCGCTCTGCTGCTCTGTAGGTTTTTGATGTGCGCATAGATAGATGCTATTAGTCAAACATGCAAACTAAACATTCTATTAGTCCTGCGTGACCGACAGACGTAATGCGTGTCTGTGTGACATGACCCCATTAATGTGCCCTATTCTGAGTCACCACTCGCCTCATGGAAAATATACGGCGGTGATTACCTCACAGAACTAACGATAATTTCCCAACTTTTACCACAATGAGTCATCCTTATATTTATTTGAGTGTGTGCGTGCGTGCGTGCGTCTCTGTGTGTGTGTCCATGTACCATCGTTATTGGTCTAACGCCTGTAAGAAGAAATTCACGAATGAGTTGCGGTTGATTTCAGGTATCACAAGATCGGCACTGTAGTGTTGTTATTGCACGACGTCACGGACATACAGCTAGAGTTTACCAAGGTGAACATCTATCTGAAGCACAGAGGCAAGAATACGTACTCGATACACCAACAGATGTCGAACTTGGGATTCTTCTTATTCGCATCTGCGTGGTACGTATATATAATATCAGGCGTGAAGAATAATAGATTGATAGCTAGAATAGATAGATCTATTATTATTCACTCCTGATAATATGGTAGCTATGATATATGGTAGCCTTTATTTGCAGTTGAACGTGTTGTTGGAAATTGCAAACACTGTGGACACAATTAAGTAGTAAAGTAACAACAACGCACCGACAGGAATAGCAGGCCTTGGACTGAATTCGTACTGAGTGCTGGTCAGCCGAGTTCTCTTCTGACTAGAGAGTAAATATAAACGGGCCATAAAACTGTCGGCGAGCTGTCAAGCTTGGTAGTTGAATTTCTCTTGATAGTATGGCTTCTTTGCATATTTTTTAGTATCTTTGCAGAAATGAATCCAAATGTAGACGGTGTAGAGTTGTAGTGAAGTGATAGAGTTGTAGTGAAGTTTTTGCGTTATAGCAAAGATGTAGAGTTATAATGAAGTTATAGTAAATGTGAGTTGTGGTAGAACTAGAGTCAACTCACATTTACTATAACTTCATTATAACTAATGTTACTAGAGAGTAATAGCAGCAAATATAGTTATAGTAAAGTTATAAAGTTATAGTGAAGTCATAGAGTTATAGCAAAGAAGATATCGACTTGTATTGATGTTGTAGAGTTTTAATGAAAATTTTGTGTTATAACAAAGATTAGAATTATAATGACGTTATAGAGTTATAGTGAAATTATAGAGTTATAGAGTCCCGAAGTTACCAGTGATGGAGGTGGTCGGAGAATTGCTCCCAAGCGAGAGCCAATGGCGTAGCCAGGAATTTAGATTGGGGGGGTCCTCGAGCGAGTGACAAGTGTCTGAATTTTTTTTTGAGTTAAATGTAAAAATAGTGCTTTAAAATCAATTGATTTTATTTTGATTGGGGGGGGGGGTCCTAGGCCCCCCCTGGCTACGCGCTTGGCGAGAGCAGGATTTTTCATTGACTTATGACCTCATTATGACCGCGTTTCAATTCCTCTTTGTATATCGTGTAATCATAACCGTTAAAGCATAGGCATCATGCACTATAAAAATTTAAAAAGTAAAATTTAGGGTTCATTATCTATATGTGTGGTGACAGGTTCTTACAGATAGAACTTCATCTCGATTTACCTGAAAACTATACGTGGTTGCTTGAATGATGAAGCTACGAAACTGTATTTCGACAAAGTTCTTTCACTGTAGCGCCAATATATATATATATATATATATATATATAGATGGACGGATGGATGGATGGAGTGGAGTAGGAGTGGTAGTGGCGAGTGGACGGACT